CTAAAAGTTGTCTCCTCAAAAGCCAATTGAATGAATTTTCGTGTCCATGGGCTATTTCCCATGTTTTTATTAAGGGTTGCTTCAAACACCTCTTCCAAATTCCGCTCCAATCAATATTTCTTCATGTAACTAACTTTGACGCTTAAGCGCGAAGTACATGGCGCGTAGGCGCGGATGCTCTGGAGCTTAGGAGCCAATTCTGAGCGCTTAGGCACCCCAGTTCATTTTTGCAACTTTCTTTATTTTTGCTCAAAATTTTACCCATTTTCACTCCTTTTAGCATTTTTCATCCATGTGATTGTACCTACAAGAAAAAAACACAAATAACTTTCATTAAAGTGCAATATCTCAAAAATTTGTATAAAAATGTGTACAAAGACACTATATATTTTAGGTGTATCAATCTCCCATTTGGTTGACGGCTCAGGGCATTCGTTGTCGCCTATAAAAGGCAATTATTCAACCCTGTTGAGAAAAAGGAAGGGAAGGAATCTAGTGGTGAAGCAATCAAGCTATGTTTTTCGGCCAATAGTTATTTTGTAATTATTTTATCCCTTTATTTTTCCTTTTAAGTAAAGTGTTTAATTTAAGCATTTAATTTCAGTGTTTTAAAATCTATTTTAGGTTAACTCAATAGCCTTGGATTAGGCTTGGGTTCGGTTCAACTCAATTCAACCAGAACAAGACCTAATCCTATTCTCTAAAATGGTTTAATCTAAACCCTAAAACCAAACCTAAACCTGACCCAATTGAGACCCGAACCAACTCAGGTCTAGCCCAACGTAACTCTAACCCTAAGACTTAGGCTAGGTCTGATCTAACCCATAGCTGGCCCAACATAGACCCGACTCAGCTCAAGTCTTGTCCAACAACCTAACTTAAATGACACTAAACACCCTAAAACCATCCTAATAACCCAAAATATCCCAAAACCACCTAAATGACTTGAAACACCCTAAAGTCACCCAAATGACCCAAAACATCTCGAAATCACCCAAAAAATCCAAAACATCCCAAAACCACCCAAATGACCCGAAACGCCCCGAAACTACGCAAATGACCCGAAACGCCCTTAAATCACCCAAATGATCTGAAATGCCCCAAAACCACCCAAATGATCCAAAACACCCCAAAGACCACCCAAATATCCTGAAACACCCCACAACCACCCAAAAGATCCCAAGTGCCCCAAAACCACCTAAATAACCCGAAATACCCCAAAGCCATCCAAATAACTTAGAATGATCTAAATTACCCAAAATAAAATACTTGACCCATGTCCAACACTAAAACTGAATTTAATCAAGGCCATTAACATTTTTTCTTTATGTTATTTCACATGCGTGATTCAAAACAAAAATAATAAAAAATATATAAATAAAAAGGGATGGGCAAAAACACTTGCAAAGTGTTTTTTTTTTCTGCAAACAAAAAATTTAATCCAAAATTCAAGAACATCTTGATTTTTTAATCATGACTGACAAACTTAGGAAATGAAACCAAAACATGAATTAAATATTGAACCCGAAATAAACATCTAAAACACACCAAGATAAAGAACAAGAATCAACCATACGAAGATCCGACATGAACTCCAGATTAGCCAACTTAGACACCAAACTTAGGGTCATAAACCTATCCCAAGTTAGTCTGAGTATAGAAGCCTAAGTTAGTCTAGGTACCCTAGCTAGCTTTAAAGATTAGGACACATAAAATAAACAAACCAATCTTCTGAAGCTAGAGGGAATACCCTAGGAAAATGTAACACATGGTTATGGATGAAGTTATTTCAAACTACTTCACGACTATGAATCCTTTGAGCTATGAAATTTAAAGAGGATTCCTAGTTATGAGGTTGGTCATAGTAAATAGATACAAATATACCTAGAAAGATGGAAAGCCTTGTTCATCTTGACCTTATACATTATTCCCAAGGTTTAAGATAGTCTACCTATTAGGATTCCTTATAGAGTCTAAGGTTTCATTCTCCATCCATAAATCTTTCTTAATGAACTACATTCTTAATTTAAGGTTTGTATTACTTATGATAGCCAAATCAAGTGTTCCTAATTAATCTCTTGACCTAACTTGATCAATTAAATTCATCATCTTATGTTTTCTAAAATCAGTTCCAATCAGGTATGGCTCCTCATCTAGGCCTTCTTCTATGATATGATGTCATTCCCATTCATGTTAAATCCTTCCTTCTAGAGCTAAATTTTAAACAATTTGGTTATCGTATTAATTAAGAGTTTGCTTTAGAATTCATAGCCCTAGAGATGTAATTAACTATGATGGCATGCCCTTATAAGAAATGAGGTTCCCATAATTAAATCTTATCTTGCAACTATCCTGGTTTTGCAGAACCATAAATCCCAAAGAATTCCTCACCTGGATGATTAGGTCCATTCTGAGGTAATATTTCTATCATTTGGGATAATATATTATTCTTTGAATGTTGTATCCAATCATTCAGATAGAATTCTTCTGAGGTATATGGTGGCCGTGTAAAAAAAAACCCACCAAGAGCAAATCGAAGAGTCCCAATACTGGATGAGCTAATCAAGGATTTGCCTCTAGGGCAAGCAAGTTAATGACTTCCATCCAGGGTGAGCAAATTAGCTGCCCCCTTCGGGGCGGGCAAATCAACAACTGCCCTTTAGGCCGACTAAATTAATGGCTACCCTCTAGGGTGAGTGAATCAACAACTGCCCTCGAGGGTGAGTGAATCAACTACCCCCCTCAGAGGCGAGCGAATCAACAACTCCTCTCCAGGGTGAGTGAATTGACAACTCCCCTCTGAGGCGAGCAAATCAACAACTCTCTTATGAGGCAAGTGAATCAACAACTACCCTTTGGGCGAGCGAATCAACAACCCCCCTCTGAATCAAGAGAATCAACCAATCCCCTATAGGGCGAGCAAATCAACAACCACCCTCCAAGCACGAGTAAATCAACCAACACTAATATTCATCGCTGAGCTATTATCACAAATAAATAGCTTGGCAGAGGAAAAATGCCAAAATAAAAATGAAGTCAATAAGACCGACCAAAGGACAACTCAATTAACTGAAGGTCAGTTAGCCAACCGACAATGAAGATAAAAAATCAACCCAAAAAAGCCTCGAGGGAGCACTTCAAGATAGGAAAAAATAAGGCCCTCTGAAACGCCAAAATCAATGGAGTACATGTATTATATTTGAATTTTTGACATTTAAAGCTTCTTATTCTTATCACAGCTTCACTTTTAAGAAGTAAGAGATTTAGGGGACTTTATGTATGTTTGGAAAATCTTGATAGTAGAAGAAATCAGTCGGTCCTATCATTCGGTTGGCCACCCGAACCGACCGATTGCCACCTCGTCGGGTGGATCTGTCAATAAAAAGATGCTAGGTATATGTAAAGGGCGCCATACATACGAAAATGTGCTAATGAAAACCAGTAGCTCCCAGGAGCATAATGACTTGTAACTCCTAAAAACATAATGACTTATAACTCATAGGTGCACAATGACTTGGAACTCCCAAGGGAGATGAAGTAATTTTTCAAATCTCTCTATCATCTATAAATTGGAGAATCTTTTACATGTAAAGGGGGAAGAGCCATTTAGGGTTTACGCTCCTATTCTCTTGTAATCATTCTTTTCAATATATAAATGGGTCCGAGAACTTGGGGAACACCCTCGGCTTGGCTCACTGGGGGCGATCGCTGTGTGTTACTCCTTTCACTGTCTCTCTCTCACTTTTTCTCTCCCTTAGTCCCTACGCTCTATATCTTGGACATGGTCAACATGAAAAATTTGAACCCAACAAAATATTATTTGAATATGTTTGTACTCTGTTTCAAGCATATGAAAACCCACTTTCAACATACATTTAATACTAAGCTATCGTAGAAGTTTCAAAATCAAATTTAAGCTTTCTTTGAATTACTTTTTAAAATTTATATAGGAAGCTATCATTTGAAACATGAAAGCTTCTTAAAGGGACATTGGTTTGCTTTCTCAAAATGATAATATTATTCAAATTACTTTATAACTTTTATATCGCTATTACTCTATATGATACTCTTGTAATATGATGTTTCTTCATTAAAATAATAAGTTTGGACTTGTACAAACCTAGCAAAATAAATAAAATGAATTAAATTCATACAATACAATGAGTAATAATTTTTTTAGGCCCTAAAACTCAAGTCTCATTGAAACCTAATTTTGAATATTTGCTCTAAAAGAATTGCTATAAATAAATTTAATCTCGGGCTCAACTAGATTCAAACATAGGGTCATTAATGTGTGAAAATGGTTTGAATTTAATTCTTATTAGTTTGAATTTTTATTTTGAAGCAATTAAATAATGCTCAAACGTGTAATATCAAATCTTATTCTAACCCTTCTTCAGTTTGGTTATATTCTAATGCAGATTAAGTTTTAAAGTTTGTTCTAATGAGATTCAAATATGATGATTTAAATAAAATATGAAATTTTTGCTACTAGTTAAAACTTTCTACAAATCCTTTAATTCAAGTCAAATTAAACATACTTTCAAATATAGTGATCTAACCCTAGGTTAAAATTCGATGTTTGAATTGTTTTGAATGATATTTGAATATTCAAAATAGTGTTTGACATTAATTTATCTTTTAACTAAATGTACAATCCTATCATAGCTTAAGAATGAAGATAATACAAAAGATGAATACAATTTAATATAAATTAAAAAAATACATCAACACTAATCTTAAAAGGAAAATTGATAAGTAATCAAGGTAACATATTGTTTAGAAGGGATCAATGGAGCTCTGAACCTAAATGAAAATTGAAACGATGGTTTAAAGAGACAAGAACAAATGATTTTTATTTGAACATTCACATGAATATATCAAAGAAATATTACTCATATTCATTAATTAAAATAGTTTGATCTACCATTATCATTAAATAAAGATTTAACGAATAAATGAAAAAAAATTGGGCAGGCTATTAACAGGAACACGCAAAGCAAGCCGGAAAGCGATGAATGTGTATCAAAGAAGAATTCCAGTTTGCATTTTGGTCCGTCTGGTACGAACTTGAAAGTTAAAACTGCATCAGCTGCATCGCCGAGCTGCATCGCTCTCTCCCATGGAGGACGAGCTCCTACAAAGGGTTCTGGAAGAAGGAGGACGAGACCTTTACTTCTCTTCTCCCACCTCTCCTCCACCGGCAAAATCCTCCTCCGCTGCCTCCGCTACCGTCGCTACCGCCTCTTCAACGTCCTCCATCCTCCAGTCCCTCCCGCTCCACGTGGTAAAGTTAAATTCTTTATTCTTCCTCAGTCTTGATGCCCTGGATTTAGTTATTAGGTGACCGATTCTATTCTCCAGTCCTTCGATCATGGCTACTATCTCCTGGTGAAGGCCATCCAGGAGCTTCGCGAGAAGAAAGATGGTCGTGCTGTCACCGTTGGCATCGGTGGCCCAAGCGGCTCCGGTAAGACTAGGTGACACCTCTGACGTCCATTTCCAACTTATAATATTTCCTTGATCAAATCAAACGGACTAATATTAGTACCCTTCGACTCATTTTTCTCACTTTCTTATCTTTGGTTTCTCTGGCAGCTTAGCTGAGAAGGTTGCGTCGCTCCTCGGATGTGTTGTCATTTCCATGGAGAACTATCGCGATGGAGCTGATGATGGGAATGACCTGGATTCATTGGATTTTGATGCCCTGGTACATAATCTAGAGGTTCGTTTTTTTTTTAATTGTTACTTTTTGCAGGTTCGAGTTTCAGTTCCAATATAGCGAGGAATAGAGTTTGATTTTATCTGCCCTACGCTGTGAATGTTTCCGTATTGCTTTCAATGATGGGGCTGTCTGATGATTTTGATTCTTATGACTAGGATTTGGTGAAGGGGAAGGATACACTTGTTCCTTTGTTAGACTTCCAAGGGAAGAAACGTCTGGGTATGAGACCAGTAAAGATATCTCCATCAGGGGTGGTAGGCTATCATCTATAATCTCTATGTATTTCATTGTTTACTGTACTAGCGCAAGTTTATGAAATCCTTTACAGGTGATTGTTGATGGAGCTTATGCTCTGCATTCAACTCTTAGGTCACTGCTAGACATCAGGGTTGCTGTGGTGAGACTGCTGGGTTTGAATAACTCTCTTTTTGGGTGAAAACCACTTGATATTTTTAATTTTTAACTTTGTATGTCTTGAACCTTAGGTTGGAGGTGTTCATTTTAGCCTCCTATCCAAAGTTCGTCATGATATAGGAGACTCGTGCTCACTGGACTACCTCATTGACAGTATTTTTCCTCTTTTCAGGAAGCACATTGAGCCTGACCTCCATCATGCCCAGGTCTAACTAATTATTTGCACTTATTGGACAGTAAGACTTCTCATTTTTCTTCTTATTACTTAGTAAACCTTGATTGATAATTGTGCAGATCAGAATCAATAATAGCTTTGTTTCATCCTTCAGAGATGCTTATTATAAGCTGAAGTGCAGAAGTGAGGTTTGCATATCATCCTGGAACTGCAATTGATAAAATAATTCATTTGATAATAATTGTAAATTCATGTTGTTTTAATTTATATGCAAGTTTGGAAGAAGGATTATTAAAATCTACTAGGACAGTGACCATGCATAGTAGGGAACCAAAATTGTGGTAGAAGTCTTCTAGTTTATATGATTTGGAGACCCTGAAGAACATCGATCATGGATATCCTCCATGAGAAAAAAGAGAGGAAAGAAAATGAGAAGGCACTTAATCAAGGAATTTTCATTCATCTGTTACATATTGTTAAGCTTGAACTTTCTATTAATTAAAAACTGAAAAAATCACCTGTTAAGCTTATTGCTACTTTTTCTCTAAAAATTAAAATTTTGCCAATCTCAGCATTGGATTTTTCAAACTTAGTCTGTGATGCACGTGTTTGAATTTAATTCTACAATAATCTCTTTGCAGCTTTACTCACGTATTCTCTTAATCCTGGCTTGCAAATGTAAATAGCATATCTATAAATATTGATGCAATTTTTGTTTTTCACCGCTGATTGTTTTCAATTATTGATCCTTTTGGACAGTCCCTTAAAGAACACATAACGTACTTTTCTGATCAACATAAAGTGGAAACTGAGAAGTAAGTTCCTGAAGGAACTCCATTGATCCATGCTTGGAATTCTACCTATGCTTTAATTTGGATTGTTGCTTACTCAATATTAATCCTGATCCTATACCATTTCAGCTTTATTGAGATGTATCTTCGTCCACCTTGTGCAAGTGAGGAAGCACGGATAAATGATTGGATAAAGGTTCGACAATCTGGTATAAGATATTATCTTTCTCTGGGTGACCAGAGGATTGTTGACAAGAACTTTATTATTCGACCAAAAGCTGAGTTTGAGGTACACCCAATGTTCATAACTCATTATTTTTTCAATTAATCTAATTTTCAATTTCTAAAATGTTTCCTAAACGTTGCTCATACTCTATGTATTACATAAAATTAATTTATTGTCAATATTTTGTGATAGTAGTATACTGTAACTCATATTGCTTAAGCTTTTTTTGTACTCTTACATGAGTACCTATATGAAAATGAAAACAACATATGTGTTTGTTTTTTGCTTTAAATTGATCAAGCTCTCGTGTTAGGACAACGGTGTAGTGGCTAAACTTCCCTGTCAAAGCACTTCAGCCAGGATAATTTCATTTTATCTTTGAATAAATAGGCTTGTAAAAATGTATCATTTATGCTTAAAACAGCGCCATGTTAAAAAATGTAGAGTTTTATGTTGGAAATTTTGTCAGACCTTGAATTGGTGAGAGGTGTTGCTTGGAAGCTTTCTTATGCATTCACCGATGTGAACGAACTGTTGACAGATGATTTTATCTTTTCAGCTTTGCCTATTTAATTGAATCCTTCCCAAACTAATATGCAATTCAATATTTAGAACAATACCTCTGAAAACGTGGACTCCTTTTTCTGATTTTCTCTTCTATGGTGTTCATTTAAAGAATTTTTTATGATTAGGGTTTTGATCGAACTAAGCATTAATTAGCCGCATTCTTACCTCTTGATATTCCTGCTTTTGCTTGCATTAGGATACAATGTTGTAGTCAGTTTCAAACGTTCTTGTACAGTGATTGCTGATGGTCAACTGCTTATGGCATTAGAAAGCATCGACACACTCAATGAGACATTCCTGGTATTGAAGGGTACAAGCAGAAAGGTATGGCCATCTGATCTGATTGCTAGTATTTTTAAACTCTTTGTAGCTGTCTGGTAATAGATGTATGTGGGATTTAACTTAAATCTGCCAAGCCGAAAAAAGAGGGCAAATTTTAAATCCTGGATTTAGTAAATCCAGTTTCTTCTCAATTCCTCTTAGTTTTGTCTTAAATCCTGGATTTAAAATCAAAGTGCTGTCCGGATTTAGTAAGTCTTGATGTATAGGATTTACTAATGCTGTTACCAGACAACCCTTCAGTTTGGTAAATAAAGCTTGGTAACTTAAAGCTGCATTTTCGGAGAGTTTTGACCATGGGCCTTTAAATTGATTGATTATTAGTTTTTCCATTTATCACTTATTCTATTTTAGTTGCTGAGATTGAGCTTATATTTTAATGCACTTTACCTATCTTATCTACTGGGATTGCATTAGCTATCAAGCATTCTGTAGGCCGTATTTCTTGTTTTAGGAAGATGAATTGTTGCTATTTTATTACATATATTTTATATGAATTTTGCTCGAACACTTGTCGATTAATAGTCTTTGAAGATCTTTGTTAATCATTGATTCATTGTTACTTTTGTTAAAAGGATGAAGATTACTCAATCATCAAGAGTGCTTGTAAAAATTGAAATGGGAATTGTTATAGGAGTTGAGGTAGTTGTAATCTCGTAGAAGAAAAAACAAACAGAATGTTATGGCTGATTTATTTCAAGGCTAGCATTCTGCTACTTTTCATTTTTGATTCATGAGAGCAGACCAACTTGTTTTACTACTATTTATTGCCTTCAAATTTTAAGGCTCAGGAAATATGGAAACCTATAAGTTTCTGTCTATTGCTTGTGCACTTGCAGTTTTGATGCCATTTGCATGAAGTGGTTCTACAAAACTTGAATATTAATTTCATGGTCCATTAATGGTATGATGAATTAGGTTTTAGGAAGTTGGACTATTGGGGGCTTGAGCTAAACTCAATAAGTTATTGAATGGAGACAAATAAGCCAAAAAAGTGGAAGTCAAAAGATAAAAGAGACTAAGCATCTCAGGACACAACGCTTTCACTTTCAATGTAACACTAATCTCCACTCCTAAGTGTATCTCATTAATATTCATCTCAAGTGAGAATCCATGATATTTGCTGTCACTTCACTTCGTATAGAAGGTTTTTATTAATTTAGATGTCATATCTAAGAGTCCACTCAATCACATGAATTTGGATGGATTCACTCTGACATTTGCTCAACCATGATAGAAGACATTGGTAACTGTGGTAACCGAAGTCTCTTTGGAAAACTGATCCTAGTTGAATAATTGACTTTGATAAAATTTCTTTGGATGGTAGAACACCAGGGCCTGTGTTTCCACTCCAATCAAGTTAAAAAGTTGAGCTAATTGTTATGATCGTTGTTACCAACATTTGAATTATTTTCACTCTGATGCCGTGTATAAAATTCTATACTAGACGCCACACGGACTTAATGATACTTTTTAGCTCTTTCTTGCTTTACTTATTATTAAATTTTGTGATCAAACCATATTGCACCACATTTTATGTTATTTAACTATAGTTTGTATTACATAAAATCTCTAATGAAAACATCATATTCATACTCTATGTTGGTTAGATATGAAACTACATGCTAAAGATTCATTTGGTAATTTTGTGCTTTTGCTGTTTTTGCATGAAATAAAATTACCGTACATACACAAAAGATTCTTTATAAATGTGTTCTTTGTTCCTATGAAGTCGTAGAGAGCTTGCACATGCTGTTAGCTGGACAAGGGGCACGACTAATGTAATACCCATAATAAATAACATCAATTTTTTTTTCTAAAAAACTGTGAGAAGAGCAATTAGAACGAGAATAAATGGTTGCAAGTCGTGATGAGGGGATGAGAGAGCGGGGGGCAGACCACATGAGCTAAAAGAGGTGAAGTTGAAGGAGAGCAACTGAATTGAAACCAAATGCTCGAGGAGCTAATCGAAGGGTTCTTTTGTACGATAACTCATAATAATTAACATTATTGTTTTTTTAAAAATTGTGAGAAGAGCAATTAGAACGAGCAGAAATGGCTGGAAGTCGCAATGAGGGGATGAGAGAGGAGGGGGGGGGAGGGGGCATACCACTCGAGCTAAAAGAGGTGAAGTTGAAGGAGAGTAGCTGAATTAAAACCAAAACCTTGAGGAGCTAATCAAAGTGCTCTTCTGTACGATACCTCAGGCGACTCTCAACAAGTGAGACTGATTCGAGAGGAGCTCTGCTAAATAATGTAAGTTAAGCTTTGCTCGCATGGGAATAGTTGCAGGCTGGGATTGACTGTCAACATTGATATGACGAGAGCACAAGTCGAGGTGGATTTTAAATCATGAGCATGAACTATGTAGCAGACCGTTTGATCACAAGTGAGAGCTGGCTAGAATAACTGAAATTTTAATAATAAAATTTAATAATAACACTAATATAAATTGAATAGGCATAAGATAAAAATCCTTTCAATTATGACTTAAAGGGTCGTATACTTTTTTAAACCAATAAAGATGAGAGAGCAAGAGACGGAGTGTGGAGAAGAAGGCGAGGAAGATCATTGATTTTCAGGAAAGAACCTGTGTGCCCTAGCTGACCATAGGAGGAGGAGGAGGAGGAGGAGGAGGAGGAGGAGGAGGAGGAGCAAAAAGAATTTACATTCTGCTGTGATGCGAGAGGAAGAAGCGTGTGCTCTAGCTGAAGAAGAAGAAGAGTTGCGGATGCCTTAGTTCATGAAGGAAGAGTAGATGGGGTTCGTATGCGAAACTCTAGTCAATCGGTGCTTGCGTGAAGATGAACGACGCCTTAGATGAGGTGAGAAGAAGACAGGAAGAAGGGAAGTAGAGTTGTAGTGCCTGTGAGAAATTTGAGTCAGCATCGAAGCAAAACCGCTCGCCTCAAGCTCATCTGATCGAAGAAGAAGAGTGAAAAAGAAGAGAAGGGAGGTCGAGTGGCTTTGTGCTTTGTGCTTGCGTGCGGTAGGAATCGAACTTGTATGCAGCGATAGAGGAAGAAGATCACACTTTGCTCTCTTGGGTCGCGCTGAGATCAAAGGAGAGCCTCTACGTGCATTAAGGCTGTTGACCGAATCACATAAGGTGAGTTCAATACTTATTTAGTTAAGTTATTTAATAATGTTTACTATTTAAATGTTAGATTTAAGTGCATTTAATATTATAATTGAAGATATTTAAGTTCTGAGTTTGTAGGCGTAAGGTGACACAAGCTTTCTGTACGAAGGAAGAGTAATAATCGTGGAAGTTCAGTAAAGAGTCCAAGCTTAGTGAAACCCTAATTTGCGTTTTAAAGTTAATATTTGTGTTAGAATTGTTTATTGAAATTTTATATACATTAAATTAATATGTATATATATTTAATAGGTTAATATATTAAGGGATGAGATCGATTTGAAAGCCTATAAGGTAAATGTTAAAGCTTATATTGTTATTAGACATAATAATATATTAGTTAAAATAATGTTATTAAAAATTTATTTAATTAGGAAGTGTGGAAGAAGGCTATTCAAAATTGACATTGAAAAGACCGACGATTCAGCGGACTGGAGGATTAAGCTGCAAAAGAGATTTACTAATAAGGCGAGTAATTATATTTCTAAATTTCAATAAGTTTCATTATTTCTAGATTTATGTTTGATTTTATTTATGATCTGTTTCAGTGAGATTTCTATTATAGAAGATTCTTCATATAGGTAGATAAGAAAATATGCATATTAAATAAATACATGATGAATTTCCTATAAAGTTAATTAATTATTAAATGCCATTTAAATTATAATAGAGGTGCATATATCAAATTATTGCATGATCTTTATGTTATAATAAAGATATAACTTAAAGATTTATTAAGATTGCATTTATTTATCAGTAGATAGAGATAAAGTATTCCATAAAAAAATAATGCATGATATGAAAGAATGAAGTGAATACATATGAATGTACGTGTGTGCATGCTAAGAGGAGTTCAACCCCTTATGGTACAGACAGGGGTGTTAGTGTACCTGCGCGTGATGTTTTCCTTTCACCCGACAATTGTGATGTTTAAATCACTAACCATTGTGCTGACTAGAGAATGTTGGCCAGGGACGAGTATGTAGCTTATCAACCTAAACAATTGTGATGTTTAGATCGTTAGTCGTAGTGCTAACCAGAGAATATCGACTAGTGGCGAATAAAAATTTTTTCACCTCAACTAATTGTGATATTTTGATCGTTAACTACTGTGCCGTCGGGATAATATCGGGCAAGAGTGCATTAGATTATGTTTTGATGGTGTTCTTGAGATAGATGTGAATGTTAAAAATATGAAATAAAAGTAAACCTAAAGTTATGACATGTTAGAAGTTTAGAATATTTTCATTGAGTAAATATCATGAGTATAGTAGATTATTTTATGATTTTATAGAATATAATAAGAAAGATTAGCATGATATTATCTCTTTTCCTTGGGTTATTATAGTTTAAAAATGTGATTGCTTCTGGGTTATTTTTAGATAACTTATTATTATTGTTTTAAATATATTTTTTAGTTCTAAGCTTTTGATTAAGATGAATACTAGAGGAGAATGCTTACAGAAGACATGAGCGATAAACTGAAAGGTAATTTTTTATTTGGTTTTTTTAATTGAATTCTTTAGTGGCTCTTTCGTTTGATTTGTGGATAATAACTGTTAGTGCTAGAAGTAGAATAATAGAAAACTTAACTTCCATCGTCCGACCATTCCCATCTTGATTAATTCCAATCCACAAGCTGGGTCGTGGCATTGGCTTGAACTAAGATCTTTTTATACCCTAGCGAACACACGAGCGTCGACTGAGCCAAATCAACACACAGACAAGAGGCGAGGAACAAATATCGAGCCGAGCGTGCTCGCGATAAGTTTTTGTATTTTTTTAATTAAAAAAGAAATTAACTAGTATTTTGATTAGTCTTTCTTAAACTTTAAGCACGCTGATA